TCTAGTTGTGGAAGACACCACTTCACTGGCCCATGTTGGTATTATCATTGCGCTCTTCCCAGGTGAGGCTGTTGTTCACCATCTTAGCTGTAGAGGGCTCAGCGTCACTGGCCCTCATGTGGGATCTGAACCGGGGCCCTGCGGCTCAGCCGGTGTCCCAAGCCAACTCTTAACCAACGTTCCACTTGGCCTGCCCAAGAAGTCAAGTAGCTTTTAAAAACTCAGTTTTTGCACTGTAAATTCTTTGGTTAAATTTTACTAAGGTATAATTGACAATGACAAATAACTTTAGTTTCAGGTATATAACATAATGATTTGATATGTGTATACGCTGTGAGGTGGTCACCACAAGTCCAGTTTGCCATCTGTCACCATACATAGTTACAAACGTTTCTTTTTTCTGATGAAGGCTTTTAGCTTTGCTCTCAGCAACTTTCATATATGTAGTATAGTATTAACTATAGTCACCATGCTGTACATTGCATCTCCTTGACTTATTTCTATTTTTAATAGTTTGGAGTTTGTAGTAAGTATGGGCAAGTAAAATAAGCTATGAAGAAAATTTAAAATATAAGGAACATTCATGACTATACTATTAGAAATGATATCTAGGAATAAATTTAAGTTAGCTTGTCGTCTTGTTAAATTTGAATATTAGGAAGTAGCAGAAGTGTTTTTAGTAACCATAATAAAGTTAATGAGTAGTTTTCTCAATCTATCTTTTGCAACAGGCTTAAGTCAGTTTTGTATAAATTTATGTGAAGAAGCTAATTTTGAGATACAAATTAGGACATGAAATTGAACACTAGTGTAGGAATATTTTTATTAAGGTATAAATGCCTATTATATATAAGCATTGTATAGTAGTTAATTACCATGATAGCGATGGATTCTACCTCACTATAAAAACATAATGCTGTAAAAGGCAGGCCTTAGCAACTGGTACTACCCTTCTGCATCCTCAGCAAGATGCCTGGGGTCGGTGTCCGACTGCAGCACAAAGCTATCACTTCTGCTGCAAGTTTTGTCAGAATGCATTGAAAAATTACATTTCTCTCAATCTTTCATGGCAACATCAAAAAGAATGATCAACTCTGTTACAAAAGAAATTTTTTTAATAACCTAGTAACAATAGTAATGTAAGATGTTAACAAAGGAGAAACTGGATGTGGATATATGGGAAGGAACCCTGTAATATCTTTGCAGCTGTTCTGTAAATCTAAAACTTAATTCTAAAATAAAAGATTTATTGAAATTAAAAACCTCAGTGATTTGATCAGAACTGAATTCACTAATAAATTAGTTTGAAAACTAGTATTTTTGGTTCCTACCTTAAATGGAAAAAAATCAATTGAAGTTCTTCTCTATCCCTTTTTTCTAGGATTCAAGATGACCAACGAGGAACCTCTTCCCAAAAAGGTGTGTTTTTTCCAGCGGTTTATAAGTACTTTTTTGAGTGGGGGGAGGGATAATAGAGTTGAAGGGACTCGCTGAATTCTTTGCTTATTGTTCACTCCCTTGCCTTACGACATTAGCATTATGCATTGTGAGTGTATAATGTACTAGACATTGTTTTATTGCAATATATATTTAGAATGTTTTCAGCTTTGGAAAACTTTAGTTATATTATCCCCGTGGTCTACTCCTCGCCTTTATTATGAATATTTTACAAATACTGTCTAAAAAGATTGCTTCACAGGTTCCTTCTATAAGTTATTTCTTTTTTCCTAATTGAAATCCCTTTGATTGTAATGTAAAACTGCTATATTTTCCAAAAAAAGAAAAGGTTACAGCTAGTTAGTGCTTAGAGTCTAGCTTTTCCTCTGAAGTTTTGTTTTTTAGTCTCATTTTCCCTGTTCTGTATCCCTACCTTAGTTCAGTCTAGTCACTATTACACACACATGAAGTTACAAATAAAGTAACAATTTCTAAGAGGAGTATATAATTCAGTTGGGAACCCAGGGTATGTGCTTATTAACTAGTGAATATTTAAGTGAACAATTGAGATAAGTGTTTAGGAGATTTCTGTCTTAACTTTTGAAGTCAGATTATTAATGAAATAAAGAATTGTACAGTGATTTAATAATCTGGTGAGTACTATGTTTTCTGCTAGACTTTTAATGTTTTCCTGTATAACGATTTTTCCTCTTCCATTTTATAATAGTACTGTGTTCTTGATTAATGTTATAATTTGAAACATTTTTATAAAGGAAAATATTTCAAGTATCATATAAGGGAAGCTATAATATAGCCATAATTTTATATTAAAATAGGAGAGGTGCCTCACCTTTTCATTTGGTGTAGAGAAGACACTTCATAGTCCTCAGTTTACAAAGCAATTTCAGCTAGCTAGACTATTATGCCCATTTTTAGAAACTTTATTTGGAAATAATTATTGATTCACAGAAAGTTGCAAAGAAATGTACAGGGAGGTACTCTGTACTCTTCATCCAGCCTCCTTCAGTGTTAACATCTTGCGTAACTATCAGACATCTTGCATAACATTATCAAAACCACAAATCTGACATTGGTACAATCCGCAGAGCTTATTCAAATTTCACTGCTTATATGTGCAGTGTGTGTGTGTGTGTGTGTGTGTGTGTGTGTGTGTGTGTGTGTGTAGCTCTGCAGTTTTATCTCTTGTAACTTAGTGTAACCACCACCACAACCAACGTAGTTAACTGAACCATCACCACGAGCCTCCCTTGTGCCACACCTTTATAGCCTTACCCATCCCCTCCCTCTTCATCCCTAACACCTGCAACCATTAGTCAGTTTTCCATTTCTCTATGCTACCTTGCAAGTGTTATATAAGTGAAATCATGCAGTAGATGTAACCTTTTGAGATTGGTTTTTTTCACTCAGCGTACTTTCCCTTGTGGTTTATCTAAGTTGCTGCATGTATCAGTAGTCTGTTTCTTTTTAGTATCCTTTGGTATGGATGTATCACAGTTTAACTGTTCACCTATTGAGGGCATTTGGGTAGTTTCCAGGTTTGGGCTGTTAACAAATAAATTTGCTGTGAACACTCATGTTCAAGTTTCTATGTAAAAATAAATTTTCATTTCTTTGGGGTATGTGCATAAGAGTGCAACTGCTGGGATGAATGGCACATCCATTTTTAGTTTTAAAAGGAACCGCCAAACTATTTTCCAGAGCAGCTGTACCATTTTACATTCTCACCAGCCATATATGAAAGTTCAATTTTTCTGCATCTTCACCCACCATTTGGTGTTACCACTATTTTTTATTTGCCATTCTAATGGGTGTGTAATGATAGCTCATTGGGAGTTTTAATTTGCATTTCTCTAATGATGCCCATATTAAAGATAAATAGTTCACCTTTTAAAACTTCTTTCCAGTAAAATAAGAGTTTGGGTTTTTTTAATTATATGTGCTGAGCCATTTAAGTCTCAGACTCTGGAGATGTTTCGTATGCCTCAGTACAGAGCTCCTTTGGGGCGGGGCTTTGTATGTCTTCAGTAACAAGGGAATTCCTAGTAACGGAAACGAGCAATTGAGGGATTAGAAGTTACGATCCTGTCTTCATAAAATATGAAGAGTATACATGCCAGTGGCATTTAATATTTAAATTTTTTAGGAAGAACACTCACTTCATATTTTAATTCTCTTTATAGGTTCGACTGAGTGAAACAGACTTCAAAGTTATGGCACGAGATGAATTAATTCTAAGGTAAAATATTCTTTTGCAAAAGTATAAAAAACTTTCTATAGAACATTGTATTGTTAGTCTATACTATGTTTATCTTTATGTCATAATTTTTTTAACGTGAATACCTCTTCAAACATTTAATGTACTTTTGGAATGTATTTCTTATATCTTGTTTCTTCATTACATAAGCTTGAGAAAAGCATAATCCTTAAAATATCTAAAGCATAGCTTGGATAAATTCTAGACTAACAAGTAACCTGAATTTTTTTTCTTGAAAAGGGAAGATATTCAGAATTTTAACTTAAAAAACATTGTACTTCATGAGTATAACTTGCTGTGGGAAAAGACGCTGCTTTCAATTTAATCGATACATAGGCTTGTTAGATAGTTATTCTTTTTTTATTTAACATGTGAAAAGAGTTGTAGTCTTAGGGGATACATTTTTAGTTATGGAAAAAATACATCATTTACTGATGTATAACTTTCTCATAACTGACCTTGGTCAGCTCATTTAACTCTTTATAGCCTTCATTTTCTCATCTGCAAGTTAAAGGAGTTGGATTAAATAGTTAACCTTCAGCTCTGATTTTTTGTGGTTATCTTATAAATGTCTTGCAAAAGCAGATTGTCAAGTACAGCATTATGGTTTTTGTTTTTGTTTTTTAATTGGGGAACAGTATGGTTTTCCAGGACCCATCAGCTCCAAGTCAAGTAGTTGTTTCAATCTAGTTGTAGAGGGCACAGCTCAGTGGTCCATGTGGGGATCGAACCAGCAACCTTGGTGTTAGGAGCTCTGCTCTCTAACCAGCTGAGCTAACCAGCCGTCCCGGTATTCATTTTTTTAAATGTAAGCTATCAGAAAAGGGAATTGCACATGTTACGTGTTTTATAACTTAAATATATTCTTTCTATATTTCATTACCATGGTTGGTGAGTTTTTTACATAAATTGAGATAAAAATAAAATGAAGATGTTTCAGGGCAACCTTTACAAGGTCATTGAACTTTTTTCTCAAGAAATTTCACAGAATTTTTACTAGAAGAACTAAGTAAATTGAACAGGCTGGAAGTGGGGAGAGAAAGGTGTTTTGTAAGATAGGGAGACACATGACATGTCTTTTTGTTTCCTAGAGCCTGTTCATTTCTCACCCTCATTTTACTTAGCTACTCTATTGTGGGCATGCTTTTTATTTTCTCTTGCTGTAATCTCATGCATGGGACAGTTTTTCTATTGCATACCTTTATGTTCCCGTATATAAAATTCAAATCCTGAAACATTTCTTCCTGTCCTGCTGATGCATACAATTGTTTGTGATACACTATCACTCACCTGTTCTCTTTGTACCTCTGATATGGTACACTCCTTGCCTTTTACCCTTTCTTAGATGATTCCTCTGGTTAGTATGTGCAGTCTTTTTCTTGATTAAACTGGCAGGGGCGGGGGGGGTGAGTACTATAATCTTAATTTAAAAATCATAGCACTTTTTAATGTTAAGTTACCTTCAAGGTTTTTAAATCACGTGCAGTGTATATTCTTGAGGTCAGTTTAACTTCTTTAGGGAATTCTCATTGATGACTTCTAGTGAGTTTTTTTCCTTATTAGCACTCTTGGTGATTTTAAATCAACTGCTATTTACTTAACTAGTCCTTGCTTTCTGTCTTCTTGATAAGGAAGTATTTAAAGAATACTTAATTGAGTATTTATATTTTTCTGTTCTTCTAAAACAAATAGTTCTTACATAGCCTCTGCAAAAGACCTTTATTGATCCCCAAACATTGAACGGACTCTGTTCGTGTCCTAGGTTGTCAGGCCATAAAAATAAGCATGCTCTTGGCTGAACAGTAGTCTTTATATGGAAGATGGGTTAGCTTGGTATCGTGAAGTATTTTTTACGTTGTAATATTAATAAATCTCATACCAGATCTGTCACAGTTTCGTAAGATTATGAAAAGATTTTCTGAAATTAAATTTTGATTAGCTATAACTAAAGAGCAGCTTGAAAACAGCTCTTCAGTGAGAAAGACAGCGACATTCAGGGCAGGTTACTTACCATTAGCAGTTGCTTAAAAGACTGGGAAAGCTTTGTTGTTTATCTACAGTAATTGCCAAGAGCAGCTAATAAAGCCTGTATTTTGAGGGTAAAAGAATATAATGATGAAGAAAGGTCTTTGATAGTGTATGGCATTTATGCAAGTTGTTTCTGCCAATTACTGGGTTATTGGAAAAGTCATGACGTATTTTTTCTGTTTTTCAGTGGCAAAAAAGCATCATGACTTTTCCAACAACCCAATAGATACGGCTTTAAAAATCGTCTTGAAAATAGTGTATTCTTTCCCCTTTATTTTCAGGCAAAAATAAATGTTACTTTGAGAGAGTCACAGGGTATTTTCACAACAGAGCCAAGATAAAGAACCCATAGTCCCTTATAATTTTGCATATTTTTATACGCCTTTCGTTTGAGGTGGACAGCGTATCTGAAAGTAATAGTAAGTTTTTTACTCAGCTTCGATAATCCAGGCATTGTGCCAGGCATCAGTGATATAAAGTCCTGTGTGGTGTGTGATCTGACCCAGAGCAACACACTTGGTATATGCTCAGGAGAGAACACTTTTCTCTGCGTTTCCTTTTATAGAGCTCCTATAAGTTGAGAAGGAATAATGAAGTGACTGTTGTTGATTAAACTAGACTAATAATTATCTAAAAATTGAAGAGACCTTAAAAAGCACGTAGTGGTATTCTCAGTATTAAATGTGTAAGTTTATGGATGTGATTTTAACATCTAATATTTGAATTTATTTTTGTACTAGGTGGAAACAGTATGAAGCATATGTGCAAGCTTTGGAGGGCAAGTACACAGATCTTAACTGTAAGTTTGAGTTTTAGCTTCCTAAAGACCATGTGAATACCTCCTTTTAGATTATTATAGACATGCAGAATAATTGACTTTACAAGGCCAATGTAATCTTCATTCAAACATTTTATTAAAGAACTATGTCCAGGTACTATATTGGGTGCGAGGAAATAGATGAATGAGACTTGATCTCTCTTCTTGGGGAGTTGCCAGTCATTGGGGAAGACCAGCATACAGTAATCATATAATAGCATGACTCTTTTAGCAGAACTGTGTACAAGGTCCTGCGAGGGCATAGATGGGGAAACTCACAACTAACTGAAACTTTTCCTTGATCTCTTGCTATTTCCTTCCACAGAGGAATGTGAAGTAAAGCGTGAGGTTAATCTAGAAGGGAGGTATATAGAAGCAACCAGTAATAAATTTAAATTGTAACTTGTTACTTAAATTGTAATAATAGGATATAGCTATAGTTTTACAGATATTTCAAAATCTGCTAAAAAGAATACCAACAAAGTTTATCATTTCAAACGTTTGTAACTTTTCACTGAGTAACATTTGTGAATATAAAAACTAGTATTTTCCAAGCCCAGAAAGTTTAATATCCTGAAATTGCAGTTATTATACAACTACGTTATAATCCACAAAAGTTATGAACTTTACGAAAACTCAAAGTTTAATATTGGGTTGTCAGAAAAGTCATGACTTTTTTTCTATGTTTTTCATTGCAAAAATGCGTCATGACTTTTCCGACAACCCAATAATTGTCCATGCAGTTATTGGCATGTTTATATTGAATAGGTGAAAAACAATACTAATCAGGACTTTGTCAATACTGTGTAATATAAACAAATGCAAATAATGAAGTTTCCTGTGTTCTGTTGGGAACAGATTAGACTATAACAACATAATTCCATCTGTATTAGGTGGTTTTGGACTACTGTAACCCCACTACCTCCTAAAGAGCGCTCATGATTGGGAATAAGTTTTTTTGTTCTAAAAGTAGTTAGGGTGGAAACTAAAGACTTGATGAATTTTTTTACCTTGGATTTTATTATCCTTGACAAAGGCAATCAACTTTCTTTTGGTTAGTTCAGTTGGATCTTGAAATTGTATTTCATAATTTGAATTTTTTTCTTTTAATCATCAGCTAATGATGTAACTGGCTTAAGGGAGTCAGAAGAAAAACTAAAGCAACAACAGCAAGAGTCTGCACGCAGGGAAAACATCCTTGTAATGCGACTAGCAACCAAGGAGCAGGAGATGCAAGAGTGTACTGTAAGTATTTCGAATGTTTTAAGTCTTTGAGGAATTGGTTTTTAGTTCACATTATTACATGTACTAATTAGTATTAAGCTAATTCTGTTTACTTAATGCTAATTATAAATGCATGTTTTGTTAAGGTAGATAATGCTTTGAGCTGTAAATATGCTAAATGTGAAATTTCGTTAGTCTCTTATCATTGGATTAAAATACTTTTTTGTGGCAAGAAGTCAAAAGTTTTAAGTTATTCTTTGAAATCAACATGATTTATGAGAATTAGTACATTGATTCAGATATTTTTTAGTAGCTTGATATCTGATAACATTGCTTTACTAAATAAACAAACGGTCTGATTATTTTCTCTGTTTTCTTTACCCCTCTGCATAAGACTATTTTTCTTAGTATCAGCAACTTCTACCGTATCTTCTTTTTAATTGTTACAGCTTTCATTTGTGCTATTTGCCATGTCTACATAGATCTGAAATGTGGTGGTATAGTTCATCGTTTAGCTCTGGTTGAATTTAGATTCAATTTTATGCTGTCTTCTGCAGTCTTAGCCATTTTTCTAAAAGGCAACATTCTGGTCACTGGAGACTAATGTTTGGGGCACAGCCCTATTCGTCTTGCTTCTCTCATCAATAAAATGTTCTTTAGGGCTTAATCAGAATCCATACTTCATGTGCGGAGATTGTCCACGTTTCCACAAGTCTCTAGTTCCTCTTACTTCCTTCACTTTTTAAAAATGACTTCTTTACCAATTACTTTGCTGAAAAGAGTATCCTTCATTATTTTCTCTACCTTCTTACCACTTTTTCTTCTTTTGTTTCTACCAGTTTAGTTTCCATCTTCACTACCACTGATTTTTTCCACTAATTATTTTTTCTCTAAGTAATGAATACATTAACAAATTTCTCTTTTTCTCAGTACTCATATGACTTTTATGTATTTGCAACTATTGACTGTCCCTGCCTTTGGCTATTTTTTTAGCTGAACACTTGATTCCAAGAAGTCTCACCAATAGTTTGAATATTACTTTTCTCTTTGTATGTAACACCCATCCCACCCTTCCAAAAAAATTTTTTTCTCTTATGATTTTCATGTCTAATGGCGTGGGCAATACATTTCAGGTGCTCAGTCTCTCAACCATTTAATCCTTTCCTCTTCTTTCTGACATTTAGTATTTTAGATTCTACAATTTACTCATTTAATAGTTTTAGGTCTCCCTGTTTGCATGGCATTTTGGTAGATACTTACATATGCAAAGGATGGATCTTACCTTCCAAATGCTAACACCTGGTAGAAAGAGTGTGAATGAATGGTGCTGTGGTAACACCTCATAACATCAGTGTGTTTCTCTTAAGTCCAACTCTTGAAATCCTAGTTCAGGTACTTCTCACCACTCGCTTAGACAATATGTGCTTATTGACTCACCTCTGATTCTTCAGCTATTCTATATGCATTGGCAGTTTTGATCATATCATATACCTGATCACAGTCTTTGGTGATACCCCATCACCCTTTTTGTCCTCTCAACCTAGATTTTAAGGTTATTTCAACTAGAACCTAACCTTTTCCAGCCACATTTTTTACAGCTCTCCCCTGCGTGGGCCCACTGAACAGGGAGTTCACTGTTTTTTTCAGTTAGAATACATACAGAGTGAAGTTTTATAGAAAGGACAGCAGGAACGAAAACACAAGGAGAGGCCAAGATCATATGTGGCAGATGAGGGCAGTTCACTTTGTAAATCTAAATAGTAACTATGTCAGCGTTGGAGAGGCGATGTTTTCTTCAGTGATAGTAGTACATGACATATACTATGTGACATGCTTTATTCTTGTTAAAATGTCTTGGCAACTGGCCTTACATTGAATAAGCAATTGTACTTTTTTGTTTAAAATGAGTTACTTTAAAAAGTCTTCCTAAGCTAAGTAGACATTAGTTCAGTTTGCTCAGTGAAATAGTAATTAAATGTATTTACAATTCATTTAGTGTATTTGTAGCTTTTACTAAATTTATGATAGAAATTAGCTGCTTATAAAATGTTAGCTGTAATCCTATTTGAACCTTGGTGTGGAGTGGGATCTTGGACCATATCTCCTTCGGGTGTGAAGAAAGTGATGCATTTAATGCTAATAAACTGTATTTCATATTTTAGAAATGTATTTTTAGTGTGCTAGTAAATAGTACAACTGAAGTCGAAATTGAAGGTTTCATATGTAAGTAGAGGGGTTCTGGTATGGTGGAAAAAGCCCTAGACTAGGGAGTCAGAAGCCTTGAGAGCTAGATTTCTAGTCCCAATTCTGGCACTGAACTACCTGTATCCTTATTTAATTTCTCAAAAATAAGCAGTTTGGACTAGGACTAGTCTCCTGCCCGCTTTACAATTCTATGATTCAAGTCTACTTGGAGAAAAAATAAACATAATCTTTATTTTGACTTTAGGTAATATTTATAAAGCTAATTTATAAGGTGCTGTTTATAAAGAATGCCAACTCATGTAAATATCAATACTATATATTTTTTAATTTAGAAATGCAAATGTGTGTTTTAAATTATAATCTTGTATCTTGTGCATTTTTAGGGAACTTGTACATAGAATAATTTCTATAGGCACAAATTTGAGCGAGTAAACCACTGTAGTCTTATATATTGGGTTGTCGGAAAAGTCATGATATATTTTTTCTATGTTTTTCGTTGCAAAAATGCATCATGACTTTTCCGACAGCCCAATAATTAATATTTTTAAACTTGTTTTTTTTCCAGTGGGTGTCAAGTCAGCATTTTTAGTAAACATAACATTTAGTAAATATATATACCAGAGTGCCAAAATGATGTATACATATGACTTGTATTCATCTTTTGTTATTGGTATAGATTGAGTGTTACAAGTTTGATACAGTGTTTTCCTTTCTTAAAATGTGTATACATTTTTTGGTGCCCTCTGTGTATAGTAGTTTTGGTTGCAAAGTAAGATGTAGCCCCTTTATTTAAAGGTTCCAAATATGGAGATGGCAATCAAATGGCCTTAATTCTTATATGGGTGACCTTAAATAGCTGTTTTTAATTTGTACGTTTTCGAAAGGGTTTTTAAGATGGGGGGGTAGGGGGAGTTAGTAAACAAGTGGTAAATCCAGTGAGTGAAAGGGATCTTACCCACCTTCTTCTGCATGTTTTCTTTGGTTTGGTAGTAATTGTTTCTTTTGTTTGAACAGACTCAAATCCAGTACCTCAAGCAAGTCCAGCAGCCTAGTGTGGCACAACTGAGATCAACAATGGTAGACCCAGCCATCAACTTGTTTTTCCTAAAAATGAAAGGTGAACTGGAACAGACTAAAGACAAACTGGAACAAGCCCAAAATGAACTGAGTGCCTGGAAGTTTACGCCTGATAGGTAAACAAATCATACTCCCCAGTCAAGACTTCCCTGACAGTCCCACTACGAGAAAGCTGTGGTGGGACAGGCAAGTACTCGTTTCCACACCAAGACTCAGACTTTTTGAGCCAAAAAAAGCCACATTCTTATACTATCCAGCTTGTAATGGTTAATGTAAAACTTACCAGATGAACCTTGTGTTTCAGCTTTTTTCTCTTCCCCCCCCCTTGCTTTAGGAGGCTTAATGCGTTGGGCTTTTCCCAAAGAAGTGCCCACCCCCGAAAATTCCCCTTCTAGAACATGTAGACACTTGAGAAATGTTTCTGTTTGAAGAAAATAGAGGGAGAAACAGAAGTCTTAAGTCTGTGGCACACTGTGTCTTCAGACAGTTTGGAGGAATGAAAACCTAGAGATATAAAATCACGAATTGAACATGTAAAATTCCATTAAAATGTAAAAATGGAATGCATCGCTCTTAACCTTGAGCATAGTGACTTAGAGACACTGTATATATCAGTTTTGCCAATAAGACTGTGGACTTGTGATTGTTGTTGAACTTCTGGGTCAAAACTCAAATGAGGTGAATTTTGCCTTTAAAGGATTTATTTCCCAAGAAACAACTTTAATAGCTATTAGAGAATCAACTAATAGATGTCAGTATAAGTAGTTCATATATTTAACCATTTAGTTTGGGGCTCTGTATTACTTGATGGAGCTTTAAATCAATGTGGTTTTAATCAATGGTTTGTTCTCTGAATGGTTGCAAATACTGTAGATAATCTTATTGAGGACTGTACAACATGAAGGTGTGGTATCAAACTTGAGGTTTTAAACTGTTTGAAGCATTATAAACATTCATTTCACAACTAGATTGTATAAGGATATTTGGCTGTGATGAGACTCACTGCGTTCTTTTTTTTTAGTAGTGAAATTTATTAAATCCCCATTCCATTCAACAGGCACATGTTGAAAGAGAATTGTCGTTGGTGTTAATGGGGGAATGTGTTCCTTCATTGTATTTGGGCCTTTTGTATCACACTCTTGATATTAAATTAAATGTGCCTTGAAATAGTTGGTTTTTTTTTTTTATGGGTTTTTTTTTTTGGTTGTTTTTTTTAAAGTTCAAGGAATACTATGATGATTTTGTTGTACTTTTAAACATTTTGATTTGGGGGGCTGTGGAGAGCAGATTGATTTTGGAAAAATTGTTGCTGTGCTCTTCAAAGTGAAGGAAAAGGCTCTGTCTCATTTTTAAAAGACCTACTGTTTTCCAGCTGGTATCATGAAAGACAAGGAGACTTGACACTTGGTACTTTTTGACACCTTGTCCCAGGATATTACAGTAGGAATTAACATGGGGCAGCTTCACAGGGTGCCTGCCAGAAGATTGGGGAAAATAATGTATTGGAACTGTGGGCTGGCCTAAGTGAGACATTTTGTGAATTGAAAAAAAAAAAAAGGTATAGTGACCATTTCTAGCAAATTCATTTGATCATTTAGATAAATGAGGCATTATTTTCTTCATGCTTCCATCCAGTCCTGGAGGTGAATTTTTTTCGTCAGATCATTCTATAAGTCACCAATTCGAATTTTCTCTGGTGATAATGGAGTCTAAGATGAGTGGAAGATAAATGTTCCAGATTGTCCCAACGTTTAAGTGCAGTTTTAACAAGGGTGACTTAAGTTCTCTCTTAATCATTCAAATCAATTGTAAGTATCATGTATGTTTATGCTCTAAGGAACTGATTGTGGGGCACATGGTGGGTTGAAGAAGTGGTTTGTGTGACTTTACAGCAAGAAATCTGCTTCTAAAATTCTCATTATTTGTGAGGGTTGGAGTGGTAAGTAACCAAAACTGTTTGAAATTAGCTAATTGTGCCCGCATTAAGGCTTTTGTATATATTTTATGCCATTTAAGATCACATTAGAAATGGCTTAAGTATTTTTAGTAGGCCAAGAAGTAATTTATAAAATGTATTAACATGTACTTAAATACAGCCAGCATCTTTCTTTGCCACTTAGGTATCAGTCACTTTGGGATCTGGTTTTTTTCTTCTTACTGTTTAAAAAAATTTTTTTAATAAGATAATACATGTTCATGTATAAAATTGAAAGTGTGAAGAAAGGTGAAGATGAAAAGTGAGTTGCTCCTGGGATGTGTGTCACCTTGCCCTTCCCCGTTCTATTCTCCAGGAGCAGTAACCACTGGTCACAATTTCTTGGGTATCATCAAAATAATTTCTATGCACATACAGTCATTTTATATATTGGTTTTAAACAAATGTGTACGTACAGATGATTTGCTGCTTTGGTGGTTTTTTTCACCCCACTTTATCCCTTGGACATTTTTCCACTTTTAGTTCATTTCGCTTTATTTTTAATGGTTATGTAATATTTTCATTGTATTAATGAGTCATAATTTATTTTAATCACTTAAAAATGGATTTTTGTTCTGTTAAGAAATAGGCTATAAGCCAGGGTATTCCAGGTACTATAAACACATTAATTTGAAACAAATAGTGCTTAATATTTTATCTGGAATAAATCAAATAGAATCAGTTGTGGGTTTGGGGTGGGGTTTTTTTCCTATTCTGTTTTAATTTTAGGAGAAAGATTCTCTGAATTATCTTGTCCAGTTTAGTTATAATATTTCATACATGTGACAATGCATATATTTTAGAGTGTTTAAAGGGATATATTTAAGTATTTTGACGGTTTTCAGTTTGCTTTTAACAGTTTAGGTAATTGTGTGTACACTTCTCCAAGATAACCTTGGCTCCCTTAATAACAAAACAATGTACAGTATCCATTTTTTTTTATAAATTTTTCTTTCAAACTAATTTCTGTTATTTTCTTTGTGAGTTATTTGATTTTAGGAATGGGTTGGATTTTAATTTTTTTTAATATTAGTCCAGTGACATACTTAGAAATGGATTCTCATGTTTTTATGATGTAATAACAAATTTTACATGACATAATTAGTAAAATGACAAAATTACAGAATGTTTAAAGAATAGCAATTTTGTTAAGATTTATTTTAGTAATTTTAGAAGTGATAAGATTACTTTAGAACAGGCATTTATAAAAATGAATTTTATTCATAAATGAAATACTTGCATTAGAATTTGTGACACATTCATTATATGAGGTTGTCAGATGACAAATTTATTGATTTTAGTTGTCTGTTTTTTCTGATCTTTATTAAATTCATATAAAAAATATTTCAGGTTAGTTGGAAAACACTGATATATTCTTTGCAAGAAAAAGTTGTGGGAGCTTAGTCAATAAAGAGTGAGGAACAGCACTGCCTGATAGTGCTGCCTATTTCTAAATTCCTCATTTGATTTCAAAACTCATGCTCAATGAGGCTAAGTCTGAGTGTGCTAATGGGAAAGGGGATATCTATAGCAACAGTGCAATGAACAAGAACACCAGCTCACAAAGTTGCCATGTAGAGAATGAAACCCTTACCACGTGCTGACTCAAGGCTTTCACCTGAGGCTCCTTTGGGCAGTAGTAACCCAGGTTGTGCTCTACCACACATTTGTGTAAGGAAACTTAAGTTATAAACTTTAGCTTCAATTATATTAGGATGTAGAGCACATGTTCTCAGTTCAAAGAGCCTTGCCACACTGAGTCAAAGAATGCGAATCATTTACAGAGTGCTCCCATTTGAGAAGTTCGAAGACTATTTAATACGATCAGATGCATTCTGATATGATATATTGGGGAAGTGAAAGCCTCACTAAAAGAAGGAATAGAAAGCGTTAGCAAAAAAAAGGTTTTTTAACTAATCAGGGCCTTCTGAACTTAATGCCATCACAAGAATATGAAAGTCTACTCAAGTCTCAAAGTCTCAACATCACAATTATATATTTAAGTCAGATCCCTTTAAAAGTGATCATTTCTGGAGCATTTCAAATCTTGCTCCCGGCATATGTCCTCAGTTTGGCTCAAATAAACTCTTATAAAATTTTTAAATAAAAGTGATCATTTCTATTATTGCTGAGGCTAAAGAAAAGCAGAAAAGGTTTATTGAGAGACTGCTTTAGGGCTTTTGATTGCATTTTTGCAATTGCTGTATATGCATGTAGGTTCTATAGTATGTTGCACTAGTACTTGGTAACTAATTTGTTGAAAGTATGGCACTCCTAATTTTGGCAAATACTTGAATTACTTGTGATAACCCAAATCTTATTTTTGTGTCCTAAGGGTAATCTTTTATAACATGAATAAAATGTTAATCCCATATCAGTATTTAAGTTTTTAAAAACTTAATGCACATTTTAAGACAGCACAAAGCATGTATATCATATAAAGAAGTTAAATGAGGGATTGATGAGTAGAAATAGTCTTAAGACTTTTAAAAGCCTCCTTAAAAACAGTTACTGAACATGCCTCATTTAATGCAAAAACTTTATGAGAACTTTCTATTAAGAGGCATCCTTATTAAATGCTGCTCTGGCAAGAAAAAAATGCACTCATTCATTTAGATTTATAGGTTCTGATACTCATATATTAGGTATTTTAAAGAATTGTACATTTACCTTTTTAAGAACTTTTCTGTTCCATAAAGCTAAGTACCTTGGTGTTTTGTTAATATTGGTATATCTCAGGTATGTGTGTTAACTGGCCCATTTCTGCTTCAAATGATAATTTGAGATGAAAATAGATTTCAAAATTATTAATGTAATAGAAATAAAAAGTGGCCATTTTGGGTACTTTTTGTTTAGGGTTTATTTTTGCTGCTGTATTGGCAAAATACTGAAATGCAGAAGATGGACGTGTTCCAGAAAAGAAGATGGTAATTATAGGGAGGCATCTGCTGTGACATAGTTATGTTTTGTATGTGTTACCACTGTCGTCATAATCACAAGCAAACAAGGCTGTAGAGAATTTTGTCTTCATTTTGTGATGGATGGCTCTTTCCTTTGCAGCCAAACAGGCAAAAAGTTAATGGCGAAGTGTCGAATGCTTATCCAGGAGAACCAAGAGCTTGGAAGGCAGCTGTCCCAGGGACGTATTGCACAACTTGAAGCAGAGTTGGCTTTACAGAAGAAATATAGTGAGGAGCTTAAAAGCAGTCAGGATGGTAAGGGTTTTTTTGAAAAGTTTGGTTCACATTTCCCTGGCTTTAAAAAATCTGCCAGGTATGAATATTACAGATTAGGTCCTGTACATGCTCATCTGGCCAGTGATTCTATAACATTATGAAGGAAACATTTCTAGTTGAGCCAGCAAACAAAGCCACTTAACTACTGGTTCTTCTCTACCCCCAGCCACTCTCCTGGTTGTTCACTGTGTAACTTTCATAAGACTTCTTTGTTTTTCAGGGGTGGGGTTAAGAAATGCTATTCAAGGGCCGGCTGAGTGGCTCAGTTGGTTAAGAGCTCGCTCAAGAGTTTGAGCTCTGAGCAACAGCGGTTCGAGTCCAGCCCGAGCTGAGCAGCCGCTGAGCTGCCAACAGGTAGCAGGATGGCTCAGCTAAAAAAAAAAAAAAAAGATGCTATTCAATTACAAAGGCATTATTACATAGATATACAAATTTTTATTCAGTGCTTAAAAGGGGGAATATTTTCATTTAACCAGTTTCTCTAATTGTAAATCTTGGAAGTATTTGGCTATTTCCAGTTGTCTAAAAGTATGTATAATTATTCTATTAAGGCCTTATTTAATGAGTAAGATGTAATATTTAAAACTTAATTTTCAGCTGCCACCCTTTTGGGGGGCAAGTATGGCTGCATTCATGCTGTTTCTTCTCTTTATGAGAAAGATTAATAGGAAAATAACCAAACTCTGAAAATTAAATTATGAATTAGTGTAATTCAGTTAATTGCAAAGACCAGTAGTCAAGCATATCTTTAAAACTACCTTTTCAAATGATAGTTCATAGGTTTTACTATTTGTAAACATAGTAAATAGGAGATTTTGTATAGTAGTGAGGAATTTTTTCCCCAAAAGTCATTTAGATAGAACCTAATGGACATGTGTATTAGCAATTTTCAAGGGTGATTTTCTCTGATTATTTTTTTCTTGGCTGTGGAATGAGTAGTGCTTGGTTACAGCACAGCCTCTTTGGAGTGTTAGAGGACCGCTCTGTTCCTAGGGGCTAAACTACTGGGTGGGGCTGGGGGTGCGGAATAAGGGGACCAATCATATGGGCCCACAGGTTAAACAAACGTGAAGCAGGTTTTGTGGGCTATAATAGTGGTGAATGGCTAGATGGTCTGAATCAATTTAAACTTGGTGCTTTTATATACGTATTAAGCATCCATCTTCCCCCAAAACAGCTCATTCTTGAATGGCTATTTTAAAATTCCAAGCACAATTTAAAATTGATTTTAGAATTATATTTGTTCACTTAAATATTTATTGACTGCCTGGCTTTGTGGCAGCCACTAAGAAATATTTTTAAATATGTTATAAGAGATACTAAAGTAGGTCTGACTCTCATTTGCACAGAACTGAATGACTTCATCATTCAACTTGACGAAGAAGTAGAGGGTATGCAGAGTACCATTCTGGTTCTTCAGCAGCAACTGAAGGAGACACGCCAACAGCTGGCTCAGTACCAACAACAGCAGTCTCAAGCTCCAGCCCCAAGTACCAGCAGGACTACAGCTTCTGAGCCTGTAGGACAGGCAGAGGCCACAGGTAAAGACTGCAGTCGGCTGGCCAACGGACCAAGTAACGGCAGTTCCTCCCGGCAGAGGACGTCTGGGTCTGGATTTCACAGGGAGGGGGACACAACTGAAGATGACTTTCCTTCTTCTCCAGGGAATGGTAATAAGGCCTCCAACAGCTCGGAGGAGAGAACTGGCAGAGGAGGTAGTGGTTACGTAAACCAACTCAGTGCGGGGTATGAAAGTGTAGACTCTCCCACGGGCAGTGAAAACTCTCTCACACACCATTCAAATGACACAGACTCCAATCATGACCCTCAAGAGGACAAAACAGTGAGTGGGAAAGGTAACCGAACTGCGGGTTCCCGCCATGTTCAGAATGGCTTGGACTCAAGTGTCAATGTACAGGGTTCAGTTTTGTAATATTTTTTTCCAGCAAATTTTTATACAGTGTCATTTAATTTGGGAAAGGATACTGTCCAGAAAATTAACGCATACTTTTGTCACAATTTGCCTTTTTTTGTGTGGGTGTGTTTGGTTTTTTTTCCTTTTCCTTTTTTTCCCCCTTTGCTTCAATACCTCTGCCACTTTGGAAATGGTAATAATTACTTTGTTGCTAACAGGCCATTTTGTGTAGGGTCAGGTTATTTTTATATGAGTTAATGTGAAGTTGTAAATGGAAATCTTTTCTTAAAGTATAACATAATGATGTCTGTATAAATCTGTGGCTATCTAGAACCTGAGCTGTGTGAGGGCATTCTCACTCACGCTGTTCCTAGGCCTCTGCACCATTCAGACCTGTTAGAGTAGATGTGGGTTTGTGACTGCCAAGTTTGCCCAGTAGAGTAGTTCATCATTAAAAGTTGGACTTGTTGATGGAGTCCTATAGTAGTTTCAGTGTTAGATGCAGTTTTTTCCACCATACATTTGTGCATTTTCTCTTTAGGTGACTGAATGTTTAAGAAATTTGTGTGCGTAGTTACTCAGTTTTTATGAACTGTTGTACCCTGTTAATGCATATTGCTCTGTGACTCCAGTATATCTTAACCTGTACTGACCAAACCTAAATAAAGATTTTTATTGTAACGCCTGCATTAGTTGTTTTTTTTTTTTTGCTTTTGTGTGTTTAGCACTTATTTATTTTCATTGAATTGCTTAATTTCTACTTATTAACCTTCAGTATCTATCATACCACAACGTGAAATTTAAGTCCATGGCATCAGTAGTGGTTGTGCACGTAATTTTCACAAATTTTATGCCTTGTTTTGCAAAATAAACTTGGTATTTAGGACTACACTTTAAATGTTTTTATTCCTGACTTGTAAAATGTTTTAGAAAATACAGAAAAGTATAAAGAAAATAGTCACCGTTTTTTAGCTTTTAATTGAAAAGCAGAATTTGTTTTTGTGACATTTCAGGTAATTAGGATATCTTTGTAGTCACTGGTGTTGGTTTTAAAACATTGGCCAGGGCTGGCCGAGTGGCTCAGTTGGTTAAGAGCTCGCTCAAGAGTGTGAGTTCTGATTCTGAGCAACAGCGGTTCGAGTCCCAGCCCGAGCTGAGCTGCCGCTGAGCTGCCAACACGTAGCAGGATGGCTCAGCTAAAAAAAATTGGCCAATGCTACTGATTTATACTAATAACATGTCTGCTAATATACATAGGAAGGCTGTGGAGTGTTAAAATGGAGATGTTTTTAAGATGTAAGACTCAAAAGTTCGTTTTAAACATTAAGTATCAAGGTCTATAGTCTTGAAGGCTGTAGAATCTAGCTTTTCATGTATGTGATTGAGATGAAATGTGATTTTTGCTGAAAGCAAACTATTTTCTTGTTTTAATTCTAATCAAGGAACCTCAGAAGTGGAGTTATGACACTTAAAACAGGTACAATTTATTTGAAAAGAACACCTGTGTTTTTGCTGGTTTAACTAGGATACAAGTATATCTGGTCTTACTTGGCATATTTAAAGTACTGCACTTCCTGTCTTGATTAATCTTTTGTGCAGTCTTCAGGTAAAAAAGCCTATATAATTTTAAATAAATTTGGTAATGAGACATTTTGGTTTGTACTAAAGTATTAAATATTCTCTTGATTTATCAAGTACTGTGGGCTTTGGTTTTGTTTTTTTTGTCATGTATGCCCTTTTTACTTGCCCAATTTAAACAAAAATGGAATTTAACTTTCATTTTGGTATTATGTAATGATTGGTATGCAGTAGGAAATTGATTTTTAAAGTGATAACTTTATACTAAATTTAATATAGACCTATTATGTGTCTTTACCAATTTTCACATTTCTGTTGAATCTGCATTAATGTATGATTAACTTGGGCAGAGAGAACTTAAGATTCTGCAAAGTCAATATTCTTCATTTCTGGAATTGAATTCTTTATTTGCCGGTATGACTGGGATGAGAGGTGGTAAGTCATAATACAGATGAGAGAACGGCCTCTGGAGCTAATGGGTTTGAATGCAGGCTTTACCACTTACCTGCCTCATGGCTTGGGCGAACTACTTAGTTTTTCTGTGGCTTAGTTTTTCCCTGTAAAGAGCATTAAATGAGTTAATACATGTTAAGTGCTTACCACGGTGCCAAGCACATAGTGACTGCTCAGTAAATGGCAGCTGTTACTGTTTCCACAAAGTGAAGTTCCAGCCCTGATGACACCGTCTCCCCTGGTCAAACTACTCCAAATACAAATGTTTACTGTTTGGAGAGTTTCCTCTGAAAGAAAAGGTAGTAGCTTTAATTAAATGGGTAGTGATCTTCGATGTGAAAGTGGAAAGCTGCCTGTGTTTACTTTCTTCCTGTTAGAAGTGTGATAACTTCCTCAGGAGGACAAGTGGGAGTGCTAGGCCTTTAGGTGACTCCTGGAAAGGAAACACCGAGAATTTGGGAAAAGTTTCATGAGTACTGCTGAAGAAGGTTAATTTTTAAGAGCAGTCAACTTGGATAAAGCCCAAGGTACAGTAAGAAAGTTTTCAGTATTTCTACTTGAGCATTATTCCAGAGAGTTAAGGAGTAAAAAAATGCCTTCACATTTTTTGACAGCTACTAAGTACTTATATGCCAGAAACTGACAGGTATTTTATGTGCATTAGGATTTTCATTATCACCCCATGAGATAGACACTTGCTATCCTCACAGAATAGGAAATGGGCTTAAAAGGGTTAAGAAACTACCAAAGTGTTGGTAAGTGTTGGAGCTGCCCTCTAGGGTGCAGTCATAAAAGCTTCCTGGACAAGACCTCATAGCTGCCCGCTGACCACATCTGATTCCAAGGGGCCAGGATTGGCGCTGTGTCGTTCTGCCTGCCTCCGTCCTCTTGAGTGACAAGAAGAAATGTTACCTGAGCTGCTGAGGATGTAGCAGCCTGGTTGCTGTGGCAAATACGTATGAGCTGGAAACAATCACATGAAATGGTAATGCAGTGATGGGAAAAAATGCAAATTATAAAGATTTCAATTAGTTCAAGATGCTGGCTGAGGTAAGAGGGTTTAGTCTAGAAGTGGTTAATTTGGTCGAAGGAAACATCAGCTTGTGGACAAATGGAATAAGGACATTTCTCAAAGGTCTGGCATTAGAGGATGTACCAGATGCCATCATTTCACATAAGCTTTAGTGGATACCATTGACTGCTGGGAAGATTTTAATGAGAACAAAAACATAAAACTGCTCGTTAGATAGGACTCACTAGGTGTTTGTTCTCTTAGCCTCAGCTGTATTTGTTGCAACTTATCAATTAGTTTCTGGGACACTTGCAAACAATTCAAAGCCATTCTTGTTGACAATTTCTCATTAATAGCAGTTTGTCCCCCGTACTGCTCTTCTGTATGACACTTCTTTGGGAGTTCATTTATTCCCGTGGTTGTAATTAACACTTCTTTCAACCCTGAGGAACATCATTTGATCTGGACCCATCATGGGAGAGTTGAGCTACCCCTACTATAAGGAATTGCTGTGAACCCCATTTGTGGCAAGCCCACTTTGGTGATTCACTGCTCTCTTTAGGCCAGCAAGGGAGTTTGCTGCATGGGAAAGGTTGGTGAATTTGGCCTTCTGCTAAAATCTGGCCTGGACTCTTGAAACCTGTTTGTGAAATAACTTACAAGGGTTGCAAGGCCCCTTTAACAGTGGCTCCTTGTTCGCACTTGGAGATTATGGTGGCTTCCCACCCACCCATTCTTCACCAGCCAAGACAGCACGTGATGCTAGATCCAGGTGTAATTTTTTTAAATGATTTCCTCTTTCACCTATTCATTATTCTCAGTTCCCATCTGGCCCATACACAGCTTTGAGTAAATAATTGATGAGCAACTGTAATGAGGATTTCCCCAGGGGACAGGTGCTGTGTGGCCACACAACAAAAGCAAGCAATTATCTTTTCAGTTTTTGCTCTTAATTAAGTTGGGTCTGGATAGAGCCTCCAGGTAGGAAACAAGTGAATACATTCCTTGCACCCAGAAGAATATATTCATACTCAGATGTATTAGGCACTGGGCCAAAAGAATATTAGTATTCATATAATTAGTATTCATATATACTGCCTGTAATGTGCTGGGTGCTGCGCATAAAGCCATATAATATTGTCTTGCAAACCTTATATAGTCTGGTAGAGGAGACATGAAACTGGGAATTACAACACATGGTAAGTAGAAAAAAAGGATGCCAAGGAGCACCAAATGCAGGAGATAGCCATCACTTCCTCCAGGACGCATCTAAGTGGAGTGCTACATGGCAGGTTGGTTAACAGAAGATAGTTACACTGCTCAATGACATTTTTATTTTATTTTATTGGGGAATTGGAGGAGGGGAACATTGCTGGGAAATTGGGGGAAATGGAACAGACAACGTAGGCTGCAGCCTACGCCGTCGCCGGCGACTCATGGCAGCCCAGCTCCAGGTTGAGCTGTTGTTCAGCATCTTAGCTGTGGAGGGCAGTGTCACTGG